CACTCTCCCTGCTGTCGCACCTGTTGCAACGCAACTTGAAAACGAGTGGCCGCGATCCCCTGCTTGTCCGCCACGTTCATGCAGTGCTTACCCCTTGCGGTGCTCTCACTCAGACAGCCGCTGCGATAGGGAGCAGGTACCGGGGTGGCTTTCTTCACCTCACGGCTGCGGCTGCTGTTACGGTGCCACCGCGCTGTACAGCAGCCCTTAAACGTCCCAGCTATTGAAAGCACCTCCCTGGCCCCTCAAACGGTTCCGTGACTACATTTACGCATTCACAGTGAGTGAAAATCCTCAACATTGACGGTTTAGTGGGGGTGTCAAAATCTCTGACAACCGCTGCCGGAATGTCCAGGGGATCGCTCAGCTGTTTGTTGATAGCATTTTTGCAACCAAAATAAGCTTGCACGTTCCTGAAGTGGATGGTGTGCAGCTTGTAGATGACATGGTGCTTGATAAAGAGGAAATGCTATGAGACATGGCGTTTCTAATGGAAAGGCTTCGTCAGCCTTGAACACGCGGTTCTGTAATCTGTAGTCTGCACTAGAAGGTCAACGCAGCCAAGGAGCAGGTGGATCGTGCCAGTCATGCACTCTATGTTGAGAGGAATGTTTTCAGTTGAGATGAGATTCGTCGGCATCAGCACCAATGAAACAAAGGTCGCGACAAACCTGGGCTTCATCACTGATAAATAACTGTCACTCCATGAAACACGTCAGTCATGACACGTGAAAGACTAGCGGAGCGTCAATAATGCAAGCCAATCGTGACATATCTTGTTTTGCCCATCCTGAGGCACTGTATAGCTATATATGAAACATGCAGAGTAACTGAAATGGAACTTCACTTTAAAGGATGCATGTTCGTGTAAGGTACAGGTGCATGTACTTGCATGTTCAAGATCACCCGACCGCGAAAACACGGCCACATGCCTGATGTGTCGCGTGGTCTGAAGTGACTGAACGCGCCTGGTCTGGCCGTGTGCCGTAGAATAATGTGCGCGGCGCATGTCAGACTCCAGTCAGTCAGGAAGCCTGTCAAAGGCATCGGAGAGTGCAAATGATCAGGGACATCGAAAGGGACACGCCAACCGATTACTACTGCTAATCATTAGAGCCGAGGCAGGCAGGAGGCAGCTTGTTTATGGTCGACTTCGGGAGTACGTACAATGAGATGGGCGGAACGCGCAATAGTAAGATGTTTTCCAACACGGCAGTCAGAGAATATCTGCTACGCAGGAAAAGCGTTCAGGATGCTGAACACGTACATCTGTGTATATATATATACATATATATATATATATATATATATATATATATATATATATGTGTGTGTGTGTGTGTGTGTGTGTGTGTGTGTGTGTGTGTGTGTGTGTGTGTGTGTGTGTGTGTGTGTGTGTGCGTGTGTGTGTGTGTGTGGTGTGTGTGTGTGTGTGTGTGTGTGTGTGTGTGTGTGTGTGTGTGTGTGTGTGTGTGTGTGTGTGTGTGTGTGTGTGTGTGTGTGTGTGTGTGTGTGTGTGTGTGTGTGTGTGTGTGTGTGTGTGTGTGTGTGTGTGTGTACATCAAGTGGATTCAACGATCGAATACGCAACTCCGATCAACGCAACTCAGGCCTAGGCTGGGACTTGAGCGCCTTGTCGCGCGGGCACAGCTCATGTGGTTTGGAGCACAGCGCCCAGCAGTCATGCGGGCTCGTGTCGGACCAAGGAACGTGTCCGTGACGTCTGAGCAGAGCCACGTCTGATCAGCGTTGGTAAATGCCGGGCGCTCGGAAGCCGATTGCGGGTAGCAAGTTACAAGCATGGGATTCCATGGTACAACCCCTCCCCTCCCCGCCCTAAACTGTGCCTCGAGGCGACCAGAGAGCACCGAAGCGGTTAAGGGCACCTGACACGCCCTGTGTATCGTGTGAGGGCTCAAGATTAACTGAAGTCGTCTGCAATGATTGACTTAGGTGTGATGTGTCATTCAAGGACAAAGTCCCCGCAGTCACAAGCACTCACGTGCAGGGTGTTTCGTCAGAGTCCGCGCGGTAGCAAGACACTCGAGTCTGGCAGTCCGGCACTCAAGTCTGACGGTCCGGCACTCAATTTTGACGGTCCGGCACTCAAGTCTGATGGTCCGGGCACTCAAGTCCTGACGGTCCGGCACTCAAGTCTGACGGTCCGGCACTCAATCTGACGGTCCAAGTCTGATGGTCCGGGCACTCAAGTCTGGCGGTCCGGCACTCAAGTCCGACGGTCCGGCACTCAAGTCTGACGGTCCGGGCACTCAAGTCTGACGATCCGGGCACTCGCGTCTGCCAGTTTAGCACTCAAACCCACCCCTGTTCGGATCTCCGCACAGACATTCTGGTCGTCACAAAACAGGTACTACTTTTGTTCTCAAATGGTGTCATCACCACAGCAGCATCCCACCCTAAACAGACACTGCCTGTGTGTTTTCCGTCGTTGTCAACACGCCTCCAGACTGCGGCTGGCGCGTTGGCGGGCCAGGTGGCGCCGGACGGCACTGGTCGTCGTGGTAAGGAGGGGGGGGGGGGGGGGGGGGGCGGTTGATTCACACTTGTCGGTAACAGCTGACATTTACACCTGCCCGGGGAAGCCCCGCCATAGCCTGCGAACGCTTCCAGACTGAAACGGCTGCTTTGCGTGTGAAAATATGCTGTCGAGGGCGTCTTGGTCCTTGGCTGTCACTAGAGATACGCGTGGGCTTTCCGCGACGCACTGCGCGCCTGTCTGTTTCGAGGTGTTTCTGATCACCCCATTTCGGTGGTTCACATGTGCGAACTGTCCAACATGTCAGCCCCGCGCGAGATGGGCCCACCTGCTCCGGCCGCGGGGTACACCTGTCTCTCACCGGGCGCAGGAGGGCGCCTGCCCGTCTTTGGCAGCCATGTGCGGTCGGTCTATAGCAGGCGCTACACCGACACCCGTGCTAAAGCATAGAAAACGGGACCGTCCATACCGCAAATGACGCTGCTCCGCCCGTCAAAACACGATTTGCCGCCCGACACCCAGCTCTCGAAGCTTAACCCACGTACTGTAGAGCTTAAAGCTCGACTTAAGTGATTGAACTGCGTCCAACTTTTGGCATATAAGGAGGTCCTGGAGACAAATATTGGCGCTCCGAGCCGAGGTGCATTGCGTGACGTCGATGAAATACGTTGCTCCCTTTTTGCGATGATTAATATGTCAGCACACATTGTACCAAGCCGGGTTCGTAAACACGCATTCACCCGTGCACATAAGGCAGGTGGCCGAGCGATAATAGGAGCACGCTTCTAAAAACGCCATGGCCTGCCACATTCAACTAAATTTCAAGCCGTATACGAGCGGCAAGAGGGAACGGTGCTGAAATGTGCGTTTTTTTTTTGCCCATGGTGGCATGTGACTCTGCACTGCCCGTCAATTTAGAATGCCTCTTCAAGGGAGTGAATGGTGTTTACCTAAACATAGCATGTTAGCCTACTAAGTACGAAGATACTGGCAGTAATACAGTGTGTGGCCCAAAACCCGAACACTGCACATGACATTACAGCGCCACCTCGGCAGGCCTACCAGCAGGACCGCGTCCCGCCAGATCTCAGACTCCTCAGGCCCTTCGTCTCTGTTGTGTGAGCTTTACCTAGGCGCCGTCGTGAGCTATGTTATGCTGTCCACAGTGCCACTAATGAAGACGACGGGTCAAGTATTTATTGGTGGACACCGCGCTATCGGTCCGTGTTTGCCAACAGCGACGTCATCAGTTCTCCCCATTTGCCTCTTAGGTATCAGCTGAAGTCGCCTGCGGTGCTCGCTTGGTATCGATCTCGCCAGCAACCGGCGCGCTCCTGGCCCGCTAGCCCGCCGGGCCGGCGGGCCGCGGCGCGTCCTCAGCGACGCGCCGGTGGGTCGCCGGGTGCCGTGCGCTCTCCCGTTATTGCGGGGTCGAGCAGGGCGACCCGGGCGTCCCCGTGACGACCGGGGTAACCGATCAATGGGCGCCGCCCCCCCCCCCCCCCCCCCGGTCAGGCCGCTCCGAACAGGCCGGGTCACCTCGCACTTGCAAACCCAGCGGAGGCGGTGGTCCTTTGTGACTTACGGACGGGAGGTTGATGCCCCGAAGAAAAATGGATGGTTCATTCAGCGGGCCTCGAAATGCATAGTCCGGCGTTCCGTGGCCCAAACAAATGGTCATTGTCCGATACATCGAGCAACTAGTTCGCTGTTCCCCGTCTCCGACTGCGGAGGTCGAGCGGCCACCGGGGCGGCGGTAAAGGTAGCGATGAGCGTGGACTGAGCCGACCGCGCCGTGTGTGGGCTCAGAACACTAACGGCCCACTGTGTTGACGTGTGCTCAGAACACTAACGGCCCACTGTGGTGAAGAGGGTTCAGAGTACCAACGACTCACTTTGGTGGGAGAGCTTAGAGCACCAACGGCTCACTGTGGGGACGAGGGTTCAGAGCACCAACGGCTCACTGTAGTGACGAGGGTTCAGAGCACCAACGGCTCACTGTGGTGACAAGGGTTCAGAGCACCAACGGCTCACTGTAGTGACGAGGGCTCACAGCACCAACGGCTTACTGTAGTGACGAGGGCTCAGAACACCAACGGCTCACTGTGGTGACGAGGATTCAGAGCACCAACGGCTCACTGTCATCACGTGGGCTCAGAGCGCCAACGGCTCACTGTGGTGACGAGGGTTCAGAGCACCAACGGCCTACTGTCATCACGTGGGCTCAGAGCGCCAACGGCTCACTGTCATCACGTGGGCTCAGAGCACCAACGGCTCACTGTCATCACGTGGGCTCAGAGCACCAACGGCCCACTGTCATCACGTGGGCTCAGAGCACCAACGGCTTACTGTCATCACGTGGGCTCAGAGCACCAACGGCTCACTGTGGTGACGAGGCGCTTTTCTATATAGAGTACGGATACCGCGCGCACTACAAG